ACATCTTTGTTCCTCGAGATGTGGCATACGTTTGAAAAAAGCGATATTACTTTTGGAACGACCTAATATATAAAGCCGAATGTCTGTTTGTATGTATTAGGTTGATGCATAATTCCTGCACCAAAATAGGTACAGACCGCAATAACTCGGAATAATCCTATGTCCCAAGTAGCATTCGATATATCATTAGATAGCGCAAACCTAGCTCTACAAAATAGTTCTCAAATATCTACACCAGCTTTGATCCACGCGAAGTTTTGAGCCAAAAACTGAAAAAAACCATGCGTCCGAAAACCTTAAGACAGATCTTAAAAAAATTGTAACTTCGTTCAAAAAGCTCATACAAACTTTCTTTCTTGCTCACGCGTAGACGTTCCACGTAAGACATTTATCTATGCGGTTGCTGTATTTTTTTCTCAACTAGGCGATGAAAAAACGAAGTTTTTTAAAGTTTTTCATGTTTTTGCCAAATTAGTGCTGAGATGTTCTAGTATTAACAGTTGTACAGTACAAGCCGTTAGCAGTGAAAGTTTACATTTTCAGCCTTCTAGAACAGCTGATTCACGAGAAATAACGAATCTAGCTCTCCTTATCCAAATTTTTCTTGCCTAGTTGCTAAAAATCCGATATTTCTCGTAAACCAGCTGCTCTAAAGAGCTGAAAATTCACATTCACGCTTCTAAGGTCCTATAGTATACAACTGTCAGTGCTAGAACATCTCAGCATTGTTTTGGAAAAAACATGAAAAACTTCGTTTTCTCATCGCCTAGTTGAGAAAAAAATACAGCAACCGCATAGATAAATGTCTTATATGAAACGTCTACGCGTGAGCAAGAAAGAAAATTTGTATGAGCTTTTTGAACGAAGTTACAATTTTTTTAAGATCTGTCTTAAGGTTTTCGGACGCATGGTTTTTTTCAGTTTCTGGCTCAAAACTTCGCTTGGATCAAAGCTGGTGTAGATATTTGAGCACTATCTTGTAGAGCTAGGTTTGCGCTATCAAATGATATATCGAATTCTACTTGGGATATAGGATTATTCCGAGTTATTGCGGTCTGTACCTATTTTGGTGCAGGAATTATGCATCAACCTAATATGTATGTACGTATGTTCCGAATAGAAAATTCCATTTCTGAACCGATCGGGACCAAACTTGGCACACATACACTTCGGGCCCCGGCGGGTGTCATAGGCTACTTTTCGTATCGATCGATATCGATTTTATCGATTTTTTGCAAAATTTGAGCTACAAGGCTGGGAGTTGGCACAGGGGGTAATCGAGCACGCTGATTACAAATATATTATTGGCAGGCCCGGCGGAGCCGGGTTTGCCAACTAGTGGCTTATAAAAATGTACAAGTGACTTCTCAATACTTGTAAATAAATGTAATTTCAATAGTTTCAATTGTAATAATAATTTTTTTGAAAATTTAAATTAGCTTTATGAAAGAATTTTTCGGCATGGCTGCCCTCCCTCCCCCCCCCCCCCTTCAGCTTCCTTTGTCCAAAATTCCGAAGTCATGGGTCCAAAATTTGTGAAAAGCATTGCAAAAATATTTTCCGAGTGCGTGTCTAACGTACGCACATTCACTCGAAAAAAGAAATTTTGTTGCCACTGATGGATAGGTAGCTGCTAAAACGATCTCAGTTATCTTCGCTACTTGCAAAGCATTCTTTTAGGAGAGTTGAGAGTCTTTTTTCAGAAGAAGAATCTGCTATGAAACGCGGCGTCCATCAATGGCTATTCAGTAGAGTGTAAGTGGTTTGCTATCACAGGCAACAGTCTGGTGTTGTATTCATTTGCTAGCACCATTTTGGCAGTCCTCACAAACTATGTTTTTACTTCAAAAAAAGCCATATATAAGTTTTGGTCTTCATTTTTTCCAAAAATTACCAACATTTGTTTTGTTAAAAATGCATTGTCTTCTGTTAGTATAAGACTTATTGGTAGAAAACCATATTTTGAAAAGCAAAACGTTGCCATAACAGGACTGGAACCTCAGCCTGTGCTCTTTGAAACTAAGCCGTTCACAATTATTAGGAAAAACTCATAAGTTCTTTTTCAATTTTGACTTTGAACCGCAATAAAAAACCCAACATGTAGGGTACAGTTTGATATAGTAAAGCAAGCTTTATAGAAAGATATGTAAATGTCTGCATCAGCTTCAATATACTCCGAGTTGGAAGCTGAAACCTGAAAACCTTCGGATGCCCAAGAAAATTTTGAAAGAATTTATTCTTCGTCTAAAGAGAACTTGCCGGATCTCTCACTCGCTCAAGCACATACACTCCGCGCCCCTGATCTATACGTATGATTATAAGTTGGTGCTATGGCTTAAAGTTTTGGTCGTTTTCTTTGAGATTTCAAGTCTTATTCAAGACTAGCTGGCATTTCCGGTTGAGCCCGGCCACTGCCCAGCATAATTACTGCATTGCAAGCCAGCTCTCTCTAATAGCTGCAAAAAGTAGTCTATGTTCTCCGCCGGTGTCAAAAACGTGTATTTGCAAAATTTGGTGTCTAGTCGTTGAACACAGAAGATTCTACTACAAACATAGGAACAGCCTAATCACAAGCTTTGACTTTCAAAAGTGTAGATATAGGGTAGGTTTGCCATGAGCTACATAAAGGGCTTTGAGGTGTGCATTTTATTCGTTATCATATTACTCCATCAAAAGATAGCTTGATTCTAATACAGAATCATTCATACACCATTATGTCCTCTACTCAAATCCACAGAGGGCACCCGAGAATAGGTTGCGAAATTTTTGAAATTTACTTACAGGGGTTATAAAAATGTGCAAGTGACATGTTAATTCTTGTGAATAATCAAAATAATTTTATAAACTTTTTTAAAATGCAGATTAGCCTTGTAAGAAAATTTTTTTTCTTGGGCGTGGCTGCCGCGCAAAAATTTTGAGAAGCACCCCAAAAAGTTTTTCGGAGTGCATGGCTAACGCCACGCAACTTCTTTTGAAAAAAATTATGCCTCCTCCCTCCCCCGGTTCCGAAACCCTGGGACCGCCACTGCTTATGCCGTATCTGCATTAATAAACGCTACGTATCTGTTATGTGTTCTGGTATACATACTCATATCCTCTAATGCATCTTATATATAAAGCTGAATGTCTGTTTGTATGTATGTATGTCTGTATGTATGTATGTATATCTGTATATACCAGTGGCGTACCCAGGATTTCGGCTCGGGGGGGGCGCGGCAAAAAAAATTTTCAAGTGAAGGTGCGTGGCGTTAGCCACGCTTTTATAAGGCTAATTTGAATTTTTAAAAAATTTTAAAAATTATTTTAATTGTTTACAAAAATAAACAAGTCATTTGCACATTTTTATAACGCATGTAAGTAATTTTCAAAAATTTCGCGACCCGTTCTCGGGGGGGGCGCGCGCCCCCCCCCGCCCCCCCCCCCTCGGTACGCCACTGGTATATACGTATGTTCCAAATAGAAAATTCCATTTCTGGACCGATCGCGACCAAACTTAGCATACATACACTTCGGGCCCCGGCGGGTGTCATAGGCTACTTTTCGTCATCGATCGATATCGATTTTATCGATTTTTGCAAAATTTGAGCTAGGGGGCTGGAATTTGGCAGAGGGGTGTCGAGCATGCCGAGCATTTGGCACAGGGGGGTAATCGAGCATGCCCTCCAAGGGGGTGATCAGCATGCTCGATTACCCCCCTGTGCCAAATCCCAGCCCCGTAGCTCAAACTTTGCAAAAAAATCGATAAAATCGATAAAAGTAATGCACGATTCTAAAAACTAATATTGTATTCGGAATCCCCATGCTCACTTACCCCCCTGTGCCAACTCCCAGCCCCGTAGCTCAAATTTTGCAAAAAAATCGATAAAATCGATATCGATCGATACGAAAAGTAGCCTATGACAGCCGCCGGGGCCCGAAGTGTATGTGTGCCAAGTTTGGTCCGGATCGGTTAAGAAATGGAATTTTCTATTCGGAACATACGGCGGAGCCGGGTAAGCCAGCTAGTAAGCCTATAAGATCTAACCAAGTTATGTGGGACCAGTGGGAGAACTAGGAAAGTCGACTGAACATTTTTCTAAATTATCATTAGCTACCAGCACTTCTTTTAGTACTTGGCTACTACTTTCTATAGCTCAAACATTTTTCATCCTAGTCCCTTGGTAGACAACTATGTATTATTTCATTTGATGCTTTCTAATAGGTACAAGTATCAAATGAAGTATTTTGGTAAGGAGCATAAGCCTAGGCCTTTTTGCTCCGTTAATGTATGGTTATAAATAGGTGTCTAGTGCATCTTCAAAATACTATAATTCCGAGTGTAACATTCTGCTGATCTTCATGTTTGATTTAGAATATTCGGAACTATCAGCAAATTGTGGTTCATTTTTAAAATCGTGACGACGAGTTGACTACGGGCTTTGCGCACACAGAAGCATAAAGCACTCATACAAACAGGCTACACCTCAACGCTCAGCTCAGTCACTTAGTGTTTGAATACTATCATATGTAAGCAGAAAAAGCAGTGCGTGTTGCGCGCGGTCGCGCCATGTCACGATTTTTCGAATTCCTTGTAGTTCCTACGTATGTAGAGTCCATCGCTGACTGCTCCATTCTTTAACGTCCTTTGAAGGCAAGTTTTCATGCATGTTAAAACGTAATTTAATGTCATACCCATCGAAGTTACGACAAATGTTTAGTTTTTCGGAGTATTTTCGTCATAATCATTGCTTTTTACCTGTTCTGGGTTGTCACGCCACACATTTCAGCTTTTGTTTTCTTCACTTAGTGCTCCCTAGCAAGCTTTAGCTCAGCAGAAGTTCTGGCAAACAGGAAATTCGCGTGAGGATGCGCAGGGCTCAAATAAACAGGAAGACTTACCATTCGAGGTGTGCACCATCATTGAGGCACTGTTACTCACTTCTTTATCAAAGTGATAATGGTCTATGCTTTTTTGGTATCACGATGGAGAACGATTCATTTTCGAGTAGTTTCGTTCAAAAATGGCTACCGCTAGTGAGAGGAAAGCCCTACTTGCACCATGTTTGTTTCACTTGCTTTCACTCGAACTTGCATAATATCTTGAAACTAAAAATTTAGCCAGCGCTGAGGCGGTCAATCGAAACAGTCTCTCAGCAGAAGACTCACACGACAAAGATTTCAAAGAGTAAGATTTGAGTTTGTTTTTTTTTTGTTGTTTTTTATCAGCTACCAGCAAGAATCTCGCAAATTTGAAGTCAGCCTAAGCGTATCTCTTCAGTTTGTACGATCTATTTTTGATACAACGCGAGCTTCTACAGTTAGGAGCATTCAGTGTAGGACTAACTGTCATCCGGGCCATTAACCAAGACTTGGCTGAGCCAAATGTGTATCGTGCATTCCCCAGAATTAAATTATCCGCATTCCTCAGGACTGTTACCATATGAGCCATCAACGCATCTGCCTTTCGATCGTTTTAAAAATGATTGAAAGGCAGCCGCGTTGATGGTTCATATGGCAACAGTTCTGGGGAGCACTACATGACTTGAAGGAAAAAGTTTCCTTCTCGTTTGTTACACTTCTCCCGTCGCTTCGTGCCTCTCCCCTTTCCACCTTCATTGCTTCCTATTCTCTGTGTATCCGCTGAGCAGTGCGTGCATTTCTCCTACATATGTTTGAGTCAACCTCCTTAGGACCAATCACGCGCGGGCGCTGCTAGGATGGCTCGTGATTCATCGTAAGCGCACTCTTGGTAAGTAAAGCGAACTCTTTGCATCAGCTTATGAAGACTGTGAGCCTGTGCATTCAGGATGTGCCCGCGGTCTATTATTGACATTTATCAGGTCACCAAATAGCGTTTTCAATCGCGTGAGGAACAACCGGGGTTTTACTCGCTTCAGATCATTGGATCGTCTCTCCCTTCGAAGTGAAAATGAGCTCTGCTGTTGTTGTGTGAACGATGGAAAAGCGAGTAATAAGCTTTCATTTTTATTGCATTTTTGGGCGCCAAAAGTCAAGTTTATAGGGGGACTCAGCGAGATGGCTTAAAAGTAGCCTTCAAATCTCTGGGTCTTCAAATATGTGCATTATTTTAACCAAATCGATCAGCGATTCTTTATGGCGAACACATTCCTCTATCGTATGAATTCTGAAAGGTATTCAAAAAGTGTCCGGTGCACACTGTTCGATTGTAAATATCACTCTTGCAAAGTGTCTTGGGGTTGGGCCAGAATGCGCGGCGTACGCGGCATACGCGGCTACGCCCGTACGCCGCGCATTCTGGCTCAACCCTTGTTGACCTTTGGGAATCATTCAGTGGAGCTGGTTTCGAATTGAATTTGCAGTATAGAGCAATTCGCCTATCGACTCTCTGCATCTGATATTTATCTGTAAATCTGTTTAATTTTTCGCTAGAACTCGAGAAACATGCATGCACCAAAATAGGCTAAAAACACGAAAAAGTTCTCTTTTTCGAGGTTAATTTGCACTAGATTAGATATTTCTCAAAAATCACTAATTTGAAAACTAATATTTCCTCGTTATACTTCTGAAGGTTCATACTATAGACAGCTTTGGCGAAAACATGAAAAAGATTTCTTTCTCCATTTCCAGCCAACAGAAAAATAAGCGAATGGGTATATGTCGGTGGATAGTATTTGAGCAAGTACGAAGTTCGTAGGAATTTTTGGATGGAGAAACAATTTTTTTTCGGGCACTCAGATCTTTCTAGATTTTGGCTTCGAACTTCATATAGAAAACTTTGAGCAAATGTTTGAAAGCTCTTCTTCAGACTTGCTTTGCTTTGTCGAATGCAGAACCCATTAAAGAAAAAGAATATGAGTTGTTTTGCGGGAGAAAGTGAAAACGTAAAAAATTATGGGACACCCTGATGGATAAACTTTGGACGCGGACGATACGTGCAACTATGAAGCATCTCTAAAGCAAAGGCAAGTCCGTGTCTCACACCCTGTAGGTTCCATCAGTGCTCATTTTTCTTGTAATGTTATCATCATCAGTTTTGGGAACTCCACTGAGCAAAAATTTTAACAGAGAGGAGATCTTGGTCAAGTTGTAAGCAAATCAAGTACCCTTTTCCAGTCCCACATTTTGTCCTCAACTGCTCTAGGCAGCGAAGCTTGAGGAGCACGAATCGCTGGGTCTTTAGCCTAGTGATGCGTGCTTTCTTCGCATCTATTCAAGTGTGACCAATTTTTCGATTCAAATTCCCTTTCTTTTTAATTTATTAAATGTTGACCCTGTGAATATCCGTGGATTTATGGTGCATATCTGAAGAAGTTTTTGAACTAAGCAGGGAGCGGATTATGATTTAAGCATCATAAATTTTGCCAGTTGCTCGCCGATTACTCCTCTAAGTATCCTTCCAAGCACAGTAGATTTCACGGCATGCTTTCAAAGCTTCAGCTAGTCCATATCAAACCTAGTCCATATCAAACCTCCATAGGAATTGAGATACACAGGGATAGATTGAGATACATTAGGTGGCTAAAAAGTAATTTCGTTTTGGCTTCATAAAAACTTTCTAGTTGCTCTTTATCTATGATATTTTGTGCGTAAGAAGCAAGTAGCTCAAAGCTTCTTCTATCGCATATCAACTATACAGAATTTTAAATTATCAGTAAGGAACAGTTATGCCCCGACGAGGCTAAAATTCCAAAAGCTCAGTTCTACGAATTTAGAAGCTTCCTTTTCATGCTCTGATGGATATAGAGAACAGCAATTTCGTTTTTGGGTACAGACAAGTTTTCCCTACTTAACGACTACCAATCAAAATTGTGATCTGCCGTTTCAAAACTCTTTGACCAAAATGACCAGTTTTTCTCATATTTGTGCGCAATGAGAAAACTAGAGTTTTTCACTTCCTTGCGGAATTCTTTTAAAGCAAAATAAATTCTAGATTACGAATAGATTCAATGTTCCAATTCTCATTGAAGTGCTCTTTCCAACGGTACCGAATACTGGATCAAAAACTGTGCAGCATCTGTAAGAGCCGCAAAACCGACCGAAATTATTTATTAGCCTAATATTATTCGTAGTTGCTGCACTTTAGTCATTGTACAGACTGTTTATCAGACATGAGCTAGTACGAAATTTCAGAGCATTCGATGAGCTTTCTTTGGAAGGGCCGAAGAAAAGTGATGGATCGGAGTTCAAGAAAGGAATCAAAGGATGGAGTACGTTTTTTGATTTGTTGCGGAATCAGGGTACAGTTGCCTTCCTCTCAAGAATGGGTCGCGCGAATTTTCAGGAGTAGTCTGCATCAGGCATATAATAGTGCATGGGACTTGCTTTTATTTGTAAATCAACAAGAATTTCACAGTTCTTGAGAATTTGAGTTGATGTGAGAAATACTCAAACGCCATGCCCTTTTTTCGAAATCTCTTTATTGTAAGCCCGGAAAAGTTCCTTGGAGGACGTTCATGGCTTTACTCCATTTTTCGACAAATCTCTGCCATTCTCCCATCGAAAAAAATTATTTCTCGCATCGCCAGTAATACTTATACATTTTTATATGCGCTCTCGAACTATTACGTAATTTCTAGATCTTTAAACAAGGACAAGGTTTATTTGTTACCATCTTTAAACAAGGACAAGGTTTATTTGTTACCATTATTCAAATCAAATTTTTACATATCGCATTACGGAAACAGCATTTCAGTGATGTCCATATTTTATCTACTCATAATATTTATATGTGATGCTGCAATATCAGTCTTGATCATGTACCTGCTTTTGATACAGATGCGAGAAAGGCCTTATTACTTTGGCAAAGGTACACATGTTGGAGGAACCCCTCGTTAGTTTTCGTATGCTAGAAAGTTCTATATTCCATTTTAATTTGGATTGTACACCGGTTTAGACGTTGTCTTTGAGCCTAATCCGACGCGATACGACGTTGTGACGAGAGGAGTAATTAAGTTCAGTCCTGCAGATCCAAGAACTTACCAAAACCTCATGATCCGGTATAAGAAGATCTTACGAGGTTAGCTGTCACTATTCACAAAAAAGAGATTAACGATCGTATTGCTGAATTTCTTCTTTGCCACGACAGGTTTTTATAGCAACAATTTATTGTGCTGCCTAACGTTTCGGCGGATACGCCGTCCTCAGAGGCCTGAAAGTGAGTCAATCACTTTTACCAAACGTATTATGCCATCAAATGCCTCGACCAACTCGCACGTTTGATTCGTCCAATGCAACCGCAGTCCAGCGTCTAAGCTCGATCAACTTACCAAGACTCCCAGAGAAGAGCACGATAGAGGCTCTTTAGGTCGCCTACAGTGTACGGTAACAATAAACAGTCTAACTGGTTTGGATGTTTAAATAGCTACTATCGAAATCACAAAATGATAAGAACGGCTTCAGATCATTCGTCACAGACAACTGTTCATTCTTGCTATTTAATTTCGGGTTACGAGCAAGAATGAAGCGGCATCTAACACTTTTCGAGCAGAGATGTTGTCCTCGATTGCCAGTATGCTGCAATTTATGTCAAAGTCTTCGCCGCCGTGATCTTCGCTTCTATGCTTCCCCAATGGGCTCACAAGGCTCTGTCTTCTTTTGCTGGCCAGATGTTCATTTACACGTACAAAAAGCGGTCGACCGGTCTCGCCGATGTAAATGGCCCGGCATGTTCGACATTCCAACTGGTAAACTACACCACTTTATGAGCAATCTCCTGACCTTCCGTTAGTGACAACACAATTTCGCGATGTGCAAGCTCTATCGTATAATCGATTTCGTACCAGTTGTTTCTTGATGTTGTCTTGTGGTAAATTCACTAGAACAACATCATTATCCAACTGTGCTTGCGTAATACATCGTTTGACTGCGTTGGTCACTTTGTCGCATATAAACGGCAAGCATAAAGGAACACGTTCGACTTTGGTTGCTGTCGTTCATGTATGTTCGTTTGGAGGCTTTCGATTGCAGCGAGTATCCGTTGTTGGAAGCTATGACGCGTGCCATTTCCAGAGACTCAAGTCTCTCACTTTCTCTGCTGCACACACTGCTGGCTGTCTTGAACATGTTGCGGATAACCGCACGTTTCACGGCAGTTGGGTGAGCGGAAGTGGCGTGTAAGATAATGTTCTTGCTGCTCTCTTTCCGATACCATTTAATGTGTACAGCGCCGTTTGCCAACATCACCTGTGTGTTAAGGTAGGGTAACCAGTCATCGTGTGGATTCTCTCTAGTTAAGCTAATGTACTGCGATTGTTTATTGAGGGTCTTAAAGCACTCATCCATTTCGGACTGAGTCGAGGTCACAATGAAACAATCGTCTTTATATCGACAGTACATTAGGGGACGTCGCGTTAATACAGGCTCTTCTATCTTGCTCATAAAGCAGACAGCAAGAACCGGCGCTAGTCTTTGCCCCATCGCCAGCCCTCTTACTTGTGCGCAAAAAGACAATAAAAGACCGGCGAGACCGGTCGACCGCTTTTTGTACGTGTAAATGAACATCTGGCCAGCAAAAGAAGACAGAGCCTTGTGAGCCCATTGGGGAAGCATAGAAGCGAAGATCACGGCGGCGAAGACTTTGACATAAATTGCAGCATACCGGCAATCGAGGACAACATCTCTGCTCGAAAAGTGTTAGAAGCCGCGTTCATTCTTGCTCGTAACCCGAAATCAAATAGCAAGAATGAACAGTTGTCTGTGACGAATGATCTGAAGCCGTTCTTATCATTTTGTGATTTCGATAGCCTATAGCTATTTAAACATGTCCAAACCAGTTGGACTGTTTATTGTTACCGTACACTGTAGGCGACCTAAAGAGCCTCTATCGTGCTCTTCTCTGGGAGTCTTGGTAAGTTGATCGAGCTTGGACGCTGGACTGCGGTTGCATTGGACGAGTCAAACGTGCGAGTAGGTCGAGGCATTTGATGGCATAATACGTTTGATAAAAGTGATTGACTCACTTTCAGGCCTCTGAGGACGGCGTATCCGCCGAAACGTTAGGCAGCACAATAAATTGTTGCTATAAAAACTTGTCGTGGCAAAGAAGAAATTGAGCAATACTCAACATTATGCCAAGGTTTAAAGAAAGGAGAACTTTTGAGATTAACGATCAATTTCTTTCGTATTGAAGAGGAGTACAGCCCGAAGAAAATCGCGAATTGCTCGTCTATAGTTGGCGTACTCAATGGTGCCCCTACCAATGAATCCGTATGTAGTGTCGAGAGCAATAGTTACGAAGAATTTGGAGATTGTGCTTTGACAAGGTGCATGGTTGCTTCTTCCAGTTTACACTTCAATTCTTTCTTCTTTTTCAGGGAGAACATAAAACGAGGAATGGGATTCAGCCGAGCAGAGCCGTGTATAATGTTGCGCTTTAGTAAAGTACGTGAATCTGTTTACAAAAAAGTTCAAATAATGTCATTCCAAAAGTTCAACAAAGATCTCGAGTACTGCAGAAGATTTTATGATTCCCCTATCGGCTGATGTTTATTTCGACAGTTTGTGCTTTCTTCTAAGTTTAAGCTGAACTGTGAAAGTATGCAGATGAACAGGCAGACATCATAAAGGTGACGAGATTATGATGGCATACTAGTGTGGGCCCCCACACTAGGCAAACCCCCAAACTGCGCCCAAAAGACTGCTTCCGGAGAGAGAAATCCGCTCCAGGAGGGATGTATGTATTTGAAAGTGGTCACTCCGCCAGGTAATTTCCCCGCCCAATTGGCAGGTTTTCCTCCGCTTGTTGCAGCGGGTTCCCCAAAATGGAGATTTATTTCTGGGGTCTTCGGGTTTTCGACTACATATTCGAAATCGGGACCTTCAGTGGGCCTGAATGCGACAAAAACATGGAAGTCGAGAATTTGGGTAGACGGTGCTTCAAGGACAAAGCACCTCTATGATAGCAGCGAAACCTTGCAATGAAAAAAATGGGCAAAAAATCAATGCAAGAAAGTAAGGACAGGCCAGTGCGAGCTATATTTTTGCGCAAGATCTCAAATTCTGAGGTAGAACTTGACGAGATTGCCATCTATGCAGTCATTTCCTTTTGGCCTTATTATCGTAGATAAAGTGAACTTTTGTTTTTAGCTAATTCCAGATTCCCGAGAAACTTCTTAGAACTTGACAAAAATTCCAAGTTTATACCCAATTTTGTCGCCCAAAAACTATGCAGACCCGTATTGCATGCGACTTTTGCAGTATCTGTACATAGTGAACCTACGTACTGCTAGTGTATGCCGTCAAAAACTGACCCAAGAGCTTGGCTACAGCCTGTTTCGTTAAACACAGACGGACAAAAGGAAACAGACGAGCTCAGCGCTTCATTATAGTAGGATGCATCGAACCGCAATAGTTTGTCCTTCCGATCCACCACTGGGTCTTGCGACGACCACATCACGGTATACTGCCAAGATCTTGAAAGGTCACTGTGGTATGCAAATAAGCAAGCCTATCTCGTCGTCTATGCCTTGCCTTTGAAAATAATCGCAGACTGCGGCGATTACTTAAAAGCTACGGGTAGACATACTGTAAATGGCATGCTTGATCCGATACTTAGCAGGGACTGATGACAAAGTGGTTTTTTTTTGTCAAAAACAGCTGGCTTGTCGCCAGAAACCGAAATTCTAGCAAACAAAACTTTTTGAGTGAGTAACAGAGAGCTAAGTGCAAATCAAATAATTTGCACTAAGGTTAAACAAACATATTCTTGGATAAGGCCATCTTCAAACAACCCTAATTTCAGGCGTACAAGGCGCACTTTTTCGATTTTTCGACTAAGCCCCTTAGCCACTTTAAATTATTTCGGAAAGCGGTCATTATGCCGTACAATTCTCTTAAGCAATATACAGCAAGGCATGGGGTCCTTTGGTTGCGAAGTTCTTTGGCGTATTTGGGCTGGTCTATTTTGGAAAATCCCCCGCGCCTTGTACGCGTGAAATTAGGGTAAATACTATCCAGCAATTTTGTCAACAATTGAAGTTAAAGTCTCAGCTCCATTCAATTTCCTTACCGACCTAATAATAGGACGGGGTTGCGTCTATGCTTTTCAAGCTTTGAAGGCGAAATGAAGCACCATAACTTCATTTGGAATTGACTCGAGTTCTCCTCGCATCGCTATTTACCAGTGGCGGATCGAGCCCCTCCCCCCCCCCCCCGAGAATGGGTCGCGAAATTTTTCAAATATACTTACATGGGTTATAAAAATGCGCAAATGACCTGTTTATTTTTTTTAATTACAAATTAGCTTTGCAGGAAGAAAATTTCTTTTTCTAGATTTTAGGGGTTGTAGGCCAGATTTTGAAAAGCAATTTTTCGCAGTGTTTGGCTAACGCACGCACCTTCGTTTGAAAAAAAATTTTTGCCGCCCCCCCCCCCCTTTTCGGACGAAAATCCTGCGACCGCCACTGCTGTTCACATATAATCAACAAGGTTTTAGGTTTTTGGCTGGTTTCCGAGTCACTCTGAAGACTCCGATGTGAGTTTGAGGCTGGATAATCAATAATTTCCAATTCCCGGTTTTATTCAGAGTCGAAGATGCAGTTCCGATGGCTCGTGCTGTAATAAGAAAAGAATTAGTTTCAGCTGCAGTTCGGTAGGCCGCGAATACTTTACGCACTCGCCAAAGACCTTTGAAACACTGTGATACGCTTTCAAGAGCACTTTGGATTTGAAGTTGTTGCCGAGCGATGGGATGTCAACATGTGCTTTTCCCTTCTGGAACAAGGACGGATACGAGCAGCCGTTTGTGATGTTGAAACTGTCAAACTTGACCAATGGCAAGGTCAGCGCTTGTTTGCTTGCCATAAGTTTTTGAAAATATCCTGCAAGCATTAGGCTCAAGCTTCAATGCCAAGAAAATCTGCCTCTGCAACGGCGCTGTATTTTTGCCTGCCTACCTTACCACACTGTATTTTTGTTTGCTTCTTACCAGCTCTCCGAGCTGCAAGCTACGATACACTTTAATTCCTTAGCGCATAGCGAGCAATTGATTTTCTTGGTATCATCTTAAGCATTCAGACTTCTCGTCTAGAAATGTGCAAGTTTTTGTGACAATAAAGAAAATGCATGCTACAGGTAGGGCAATGTGGAATTAAAAGTGCATAGGCTTCGTTTACAGTTGTCCAAGTCAGTTCAACGCCGACGCGTATTGCAGCGCGTTGCGTGCGATGACGCTTTCTTTGTTCCCATCACCAAATACGCGCTGCCTGTTCGCTGTACAGAATGACCTGCTGCTGCGCAGCAGACTATCACCAAAAACGAAGAAAACCTTGCAACAATAGAGCAGAGAATCGGGATATATGGCCACGAAGCAAGAATGGTATACTGACTACGTACTAAAAGTTTTTTTCTACTGACCATATCAGAGTAATTATTAAATCGTAAGTTGCATCATAATTTGAATCCGAAGGAAACATTACCTTGTCTAGTACATGCTTCACCCCCCCCCCCCCCTCCCTCCCTCAAGTGCTCAAAGCACTAATCTCACTTAGCTAAAGCTTTCAATAAATATAAAATTATGAAGACGTCATGTGTTTGCGTCAGTTTGATTATACAAAATAATGATTGTGGTATAAAAACCTTATACAGCTGGTTATCATGTGCAAACAATAGGCAGCGCATGGCAGATTTGGATAATTGGACTTCTCGTGAGGACAATGATTAGCAGACCTCGACTAATTACTAATTACTCATCTGCACCCCTCAAAAACTCAAACTTCCAAATTTTTTCAAGAACTTTTGATTAGGCAGCTGTTTTTACCCTACCTAGTGAGGTTCTCTCGAAAAAAAATTTCGGGGTTCTGGAACAATTTCTTCTCGCTTGCATGGCTTAGCTAGGCTTCCCAAGCGAGTCTTTACCTAAGGAGCACGGGTCAGGCTGTCCAACACTGTGTGAAGGGGAAAACACGTTTCATTTGTAATCAACATGCTTCAACCTCTAGGATCTTTTTTTTTAGGCTGTGAGTCCCGTCAAAATGTGTGGGCTGTCCCGATTGCCCCATTAGTTTTGTCCGAATCAATTTTTCAAAGCACTGGGTCTTTCTCTTATATTCTAAAGGTGAAAGTATCCGTCGATAGCGCGAAAAAGCGCTACAAAATGACATCCAAATACCCCAGGCTGATCCATATAAAATCTGTACCAAATTTAGAAAAAAGGCCGAATAATCGAATGAAGTCGAATCTCCTTTTAAAATTTTTACGGATTTCGCACTCCCTTAAAACATATTTCCGACAACAAACGTTAATTGCACGGTTGGTGTATTTTTTGCTCAGCTAACTTTGTAAGCAAAAGTCTTCATGCTCTCCAAAGCAGCGCTAGGTTGCTCCCACATAGATAATTTCACTACAAGTTTTGAAAATATAACCGTGAGTTTCAAGCCCCTGCAATAGCTAATCCTCTCGCAAATTAGCCCAGAAGGCGAACAGCCTAGCGTACTTTGGAGAAAGCATCGAAAATATCGTTTTCGAATATCTAGCCAAGAAAGAATTGCAACGATCACATAGGTGAAAGTCTGTATCGAGAACTTAGTCTGCGGGACGAGTGAGAACGAATTTGTTAAGGAACTCGTTTTTTCGACCTATTCGGCGTTCAAAACTTTTTAACTTTTTAGTTTTTGCCAGATTACATGTGGAACAAATTTAGCGCTGAAGTTTGAAAACGCCATCTTGCGGTATGCTTTCCAGTTTACAGTGGTACTCTGATATGGCGTAAAAAAGCAAAGACAAACTCTCTGGGACAATTGAATATTTTGGAATACGTGCCGGAAAGGCAGAAAGTCTCGCTTGGAAGTGGATTTTTACTTGAATGAATATATACAAGCATAACTTCATCAAAAGAGAGTTTAGCGATGTTTGAGAAAGACAGTCGCCGCTACTATTAGACAACAATTTACATGCATCGTACTTACCATAACTCAGTGTAGTCGTACCCACTATTAAGCTTTGAAATCTAGCTGCATGCAGGTCTTCGGCTTCACATACTGCAACAAAACTCGAACTTATGATAGAACATATTGGGTCGTTCCGAAAATGGTGTCGCTTTTCAAATGATGTCATATTTCGTGTAACAAAAATTTCTAAGAGATCTTGGAAGCATTCGGTGCAGCATTTCATTCTCTTTTTAATTGCTATAATCTTTGCAGTACAATTGATGAGCTCTTGGAAAATTACCGAGATCTGCGACCCCTGGTTTTTGAGATGGTTGAGTTTCACATAATTCTATACTTTCATATCAATCCTCCAAAGAGTCCAAATTACGATTTGATAAAGCAAACTTAGATGATAAAGTGCAAATTTTTCCTTCGTAGGTATAATCTTTTCAAAGATCTTTTGGACCAAAACCATCGTTTTTGGCAGCCCTATGTCAGCCACAAACGCGTCAAACACCAATAATTCCTCGGAATCCGAGACTTCGAAAATTTCCAAACGAATCGGAAACAAAAAGCACTCATTAGAAAGCGGAGAAAAAGCTGCATTGGATATTACCCGAGATGCTCTCCTTTTAATGTTCTACGAGGTTTTAATTGACCAATATGGAAATTGGTAGCATCAAGTAAGACGAGTTATTGAAAGGAGAGGAAAATTATTCTGCATCCTGCAGCGGTTGCTCTATAATCATGTTACCTGGGATCCTTTGGAAAGTTAATATAAAAGTTCGAAAAATTGTGAAACATGACCATCCCAATAAGCATGATCAGGTTTTGGTTATTTTTCCGAGAGCTCATTGAACTTACTGCAACCATTTTATAAGAAAAAGGGTGAGGTGCTGCATCGAAAACAACCAAAATCTCTTGCCTTTTATTCAAAAGCGAAATTATTTTCGGAACGACCTAATAGTTTCCACCAATAATTTAATTGGTAAGACTCCCGATATTCGTTCACTATGATACGCGTTAGGATAGAAGCCAAACCATGGTTTTATGTTAGTGCTAAAAGCAGAATTACCATTATCGTAATGCGAGAATTACTGTTAAAATCAAGCTCTCAAAATGTTTTGTTTTAAATTTTGACCCTAAATATGCTTTAAAATCCAAAAAATCTCGAATCTTGCCTTTTATTTGGATTTCCTACCTTTTACAAACATGATAAGAAGTATACATATTTATGCTGGTGGGCTTCTCAATGAAAAGTAGCAATTTTGATTTGGATTTTTGATTTTGTGCAGAATAAATTCACCAATACATATGTGATAAGTTATACAGGTACATATTGCACTATACAACTGAACATTTTGGAACAAATAACTCATTTTCTTTGGTGCCGGACTTTGTTCCAATCTAGTACAATTTAGAACAGACGTATTGATTGACTTCAGCAAGCATCTAGATGTTTTTCCATACTTTTTTTCTGGCTTTATTTTAAAGTTGATCCTCTCCATTTACAGCATGAAGTCAGATGCAAACCCACATTGAAATCTATAGAAAGAATGGATGATGACACCCAGAATGTGGCTCGTATAAAGTTCGAAGTGTTTTCATAAGCTTCTTTCCAACAATTTATACAGAATATTCAGTTTAGACAATCTTCTTGCAAATCTTAATTCTCATTTTTGACAATAAAAAGTTCTCCCGCAAATCTCTCGATACAGCATAGAAAATTGAGATCAAATGGGCATTTTGAGATCAGACTAGGCGTTAGGCGTTTGTGGTGGGGAAGTTGCAGTTCAGAGCCGACAGAGTTCAAAGCTTCGTAGGTTGAGAATGCAGTCAAGTCGATTACGTGCTTTTCTCGTTTCCAAAATGATCGGCCTGAAAATCTCAATAACGCTGGAAGAAGAACTTGAGCGCCCAGGGGCATTCTTATCTAGCGCGACAAGCTCTCACCTCTCGAGAGCATCGTCGCCTCTGAGTGCTGAGAAATAGGGCTTGAGAAGGTCGAAATTCACATAGCGCTTTGCTCGAAGAGATGAATCCTCTTTGTCGAATGCTAAATAGAGGCTGGTTCACGAGAAGGAGAAAATAGACTAGGTGTTACCTGATGAGGAGTATATCCCAAGTAGTAACGATGCCAAGACAATGAGAGTCCTCATACTTGCACTTGGTCCTGAAAAATAAATGAGGTACACGTGCAAGGAAAGGTTTCAACCAAACAAATTACGAATTGAGAGAAGGAGCACTGGCCGAGTTGTTAGAAGAGGGGAAGAATCAAACCACAGAAGGATGATACCATTGTTTATCCAAACATAGTAAAAGTTGTATGGAAAGTTTTGGTATTCTATATTGAAAACGGAGCAGTAGAATGATTTATGGTTTTCATTGCGAAAGTATTAGACCTAGACCTATCTCTTCAAGGTGGATGACACGTGTGACACAGCGACATCCGAATTTATGCGCTATCACAAGCTTGAATATTCTAGAAGCAGTGTGTGTAGCATAAGGAAACAAAAAATTATGATTTTATATGACCTGCCTGCCGAAAAGCTTACTAGCTTTGGAGGAGGATTCAGAAAACGAGTAAGTACCGTGGAAAGATAACGTAAGGTTTGTTCACTAATTCTTGACGAGTTCGAAAAAGTTCCATGCCTTATGTGTGTCACTTGTCGCACTCAAGAATATGTTAAAAAAGAAAACTCATAGAAAAAATTGGAGCAAAATAAAAAATTAAAAAATAAATTGAGAATCAAAAATTTTAAAAAAAATTAAAAATAAAAAATTCGAAAAAATCAGAATCAAAAAACACTGAAGCCACCCCTTTCAGTGTTACTGTGACAATACTCCTGATGATAACGTTGAAGGGGGCGGACTGAGGGCGGGGATTGCTTAAGTGAGTCACAAATTGCGCAAGTGGTGTGCTTTACTCGTAAATAGTCAAAAAAATCTTTGAGACTTTACAAAAGTTCGTAATAGCCTTGCCCCACTCCCCTTTACTTAAGATTTCGGGGTTACGGGGCCGCAAAAATCTCGGAAAGCATCCAAAACTCTGTCTTCCCCTCCCCCTCCCCCCCCCCCCCGGTCTTAGCCGCCACGAGGTTGTCTGTACGGGGTTGATTGTTGTGCTCCATCAACAGCATCGAAGCTTCGAAAGCAAGAAGAAGTATTATGAGGTCACCTAGCTCAGCAATGCTATAAGATACAACAAGATGCTGCTCAATTATGGGGCTTTAGAATTGCGCGTCGAGACCAATACATTCTTCTCGTACGCTATGCGCTGCGAGCAAGCCAAGAGGAAGTGCAAGTTTAGCGCGGGAGATGGACGGTCTGCTGCCTTTTATCTTATTGTCTGATGTGTCCTAGAGAAAGAGCACCCAAATACTTGCTGATTTTGGAGTTGAAAGAAACCATCTTCAGGCACTAACGCAAGCAGAGAAATAAGTTTTCACAAAGATTTGAAAACCGATCACTTTTGAAAGCATAGGAAAATGTTGCGAGCAAATTTCTCAGGATGCTTGCGATTTCAGAAAGGATAGTTCAAGAACAGTCAGATAGTCAACCTTACTTCATGTGTAGCGCGAGACATTGATTGGTATTTTCTTACAACAAATTATGAAAAAAGATAGATGTAAAGGTTGGAATTGGTAACTACACGGTCACGACAAAACTACACTATGTCATTGTCAGATAGTCAAAGCTTGCGATTAAATTGACTCAATACAACCTTAAAGCACAAATCTGAGAAAATCTCAATTTTTGATTCATAGAGTTCCGCTTAAGCTCGGCAGAACACAGATTCTGTTATTTCTAATTGGTAGCCAACGGCATTATCCGTTTACCAGATTAATTATCTGGGTTCAATCTGTTACGGCACTAAAATCAAATTTAAACAGTGATTTTTGAAGTGGAGGCCATATTAAGAGTTGATTTTGCTTTGTTACAAATAAGAGTTGCTAATCTTGATATTGAGTCCATCTATTTACAAAAATATGAGATATGTGGTTGCTAAATTGTCGAGTTTCGTAGATATATCTCAAAGCGGAATTATGTTAATTTTCGAGAGTTTATTTTTCTTTTTAACGTAATAATTTGCGATGGACGTATAGCGACTTCGCAGATTTCGAGAATTTCCATTGTGAAAAGGATTACAAGCCGACATTTCTGTTTGTTGGAAACACTCCGATTGAGGGAGACTATTTAGAGCTTGTACAAAGTCAACTGGTAGATGAGTGCCTGATCAGCCGAGCGGACAAATGAGGAAATGGAACTTCACGCCCACTTGAGCTCTTTTAGATAAAGACCGATGGAACAAGTTCCCGTTTGAATCTCCAACGATGCTCCTCACTTCGAAAATCCATGAAGAGATTTGTGATACGCTATTGACGAAAATGAGAGGAAATGACAGCAAATATAAATATATGAACTCGAAGACTCTCATGGTAGTAGAATTTTTTCAAATTTCAAAGGCACATCAAAAACATAATATCTCCTAGCAGAGTTGTGGAAGTGTGTTTATGTCAGCAAATGTGCCATTCGGCAAAAATACACAACAAGATTTTATTAAAATTTCAATTATCGAGAGACGAAGAGCCTAGCTATTCTCCTAGGCTACTGTAATATGTACATAACACATCTCTTCATTTATTGTGCAAATCTAAGGCGCATATAATGATAAGTACTTGAATCTTGCTATTAGGCTCTTTCTTAATTTCCATCAAAGTTCAAAATCTTGAAGTTCATTCTTCAGAATCAAGGCTCGGGCCTTGAGGATGAAGAACAAGCTCGAACGTTGACTAACAGATATTCACATTTAATTTCGAAACTAAAAAAATTCTTTACGTTTGAAAATCGGGTCACCCCAAAACTTCCAAGGTGCCCGTCAGTTGATCCTCATATTAAAACATGCAAACGTTTATACGTTACTCGGCCAAAATCAAAGGAGCAAAGATAGGCTAAAAAACGTAAGTGTTCTTTTCTCCGGGCTTTTGCAGGTTCAACTTTGATATTTCGCGAAAATTAGCCCGCATTCAGGAGTGCAGCCTTTTGTAGTAAGGCTCAAAAAGAACACTTAAAAGGAAGAGGGAAGAGCCCAGAACTAGGCTTCCCGCCTCCTCCTTCCATTTCTTGTTTCCCATCAACAAAAAAGTACAGCTACTTAAAGCGCGAATCTTTAATGTGCTAAGCGGTGCGTGAGCAAGTGGCTGATCAAAGATTTTTTTTGCGTAATAAAGGTCTCATTTTACGTGTTTCCAGGGCTCGGCACAGGGGCTAGTAAGCAAGTTGGATATCGTTTTTGGGACAAAAAGAAAGGAGGTATCGTTTTTGAGACCAAAAGAAGACAGAATAATTGTAAAGTGTTTTGATCGACGTTTCGTTTTTTGATGTTTTTTTTCACGTTTAGAATTTAGAGTTGAAGAAGACTTCGTGAAATTTCGTGAAGTCAAGGGAACTTCGTTTTTTGCATTTTCCAAAAGCCACCTCGTGCCGAACCCTGCGTGCCTTTGATTCATGTGTTTGTCTGTGGCAGCAAGGGTTTGTTTGCTCTCTCGTATAGGAACTCAAGGGCCCCTGAAAATGGGAAGTCCTGAAAATAGACTGAAGTTGAACGAAGCAATACTGTTGCAGAGCCCTAAAAGCTAAATAAACACACAATTTTTGCCTTAGCTCTCGCCGGAAAACATTCAAAGTTTGTCTTGCTCTATTTCTTGTGGCCTAGAGAAACATATCTACATAGGACTACCAACATTAGCGTTTGCTGCTGTGTGATGTCATAGTGCAGCTTTCAAAATTGAAAACTCTGCTACAGTTTGAAGAGGTGTGCAGGAAAGAGACTTCTCTTGATCACAAAGAAGTAATGTTAAACGAAAAAATTTGTAGTATGCGTTTGTAGCATTGCCAGTGACAATGCCGCCTTCTTGTAAACATGAAGCTAGGAATGGGATAAATAATGACTACAAAAGTTGAATGCTTCCTCTAACTAAACCGAATTCAAATCTTACGACACCAAAAACGAAATTCGGATGATAAGAAAGTTCTCGGACATTTCTAGATCAAGTCTGTTATATCTCGAACTTTAATGCATGTACATGCGCAAAAATTTGCATCTGTACTTTCAGTTGCATGTAGCTGAAATTCAAATTGGGAGGAACCTGGGATTGATGGGGGCGGAGTCTGCCACTTTTCAATTACCTCGTTTTTCTTGTTGTTTAAGCCCAATTTTCATCCGAGCAATGCGTGTAAGTGTGTAAGTATGTGTATACTATAAACTAGAGCATGTGGGGTTTCATAACGTTTATAGAAGTTGGAGATCTGGGTTGGGGCAAAAGCCTATGCTTTTAGAATTTTCGCTCGAATTTTCTCTGAGAACCTTGGTAAGACTTAGTATTATGGTAAGTATTAGTGGTATTAGTATTAGTGTATTAGTGCTTGGTATTAGTGCGCATACCATAATTTTGTAGAGATTGCTTTCCTCTATCCAGCGGTCTGCAGCATGCCCCAATCAGTGCTTACATCGAAACAAAAACTTTGTCTAAAGGCAATGTCCGAGAACTTTCTTTTCAACCTAATAGCACACGTTGAAATAGTAGCGGATGAAGCATCACTTGTGCAGGGTTGAAATCCGCTACACTTCAAAATAAACCAAACGATAAATCTTGTTCCTTTTATACTGAATGAGTTACTGAAATAAAATGAAATCTCCAAATGAAGCAAAACTTTTCAAAATGTGAATATAAATTAGATACTGTAGCATGGAGCTCATTAGGCGCGGGCATCAAAACAAGCACAATACATTTCTGTTTGACGTTTGTAGCCAATAATATTATGAGTGAAAGGTTCATTCTTTTTGTGAGTTTTTGCTGAATGATGAAGCTCAAATTCTCGTTACCGATGATTGCTAAAGTTTGCGGGGGCATGGATTTGCCAATCTCGTCAGAAGTAGTCTCGTTTGTTTAACCATTCGTATGCCAAAAGATAAGCAGTCGCTTTGAGGAGATTGTCACTGACAATTTGAGAGAAAAGGGCCGGACATACTTCACGCGATTTCAGTCGCGACGCGACTTGGCAATTCGCCAGAAGTCTTCACAACGCTGGCAGAATGCACATGCATAGTGTGTACAATTTATAATGAATTATACAATTTACAATGTGTATAATTTACATAAATTAATGGGATG